ACCCTGGATTGTAGAAAGTACTACAAATCCCTTTGATAGGGCTAATCCTCTTTTTGAATGCATTATACAAACAAACAGGAGAAACTGATTTTAAAAGTTGCAATTCGATTACAGTGATGATGTCTCTTTGTTTTATGCATCCCTCCCTTTTCCCTTCTCTGGCTTTACAGAATACTTGGCATTCTGAAGTCCATTTGAAGTATTTAGAGCATATAGTATTAGCAATCTTTGATGATTATGTCCCATCAAGTCATTGTCAACTCTTAGCGACCACACAGATTTTCTCCATGATGATCTGTCCCTAACCTGATCTTTCAGGGCTTCCAGTGCACTCATCACCACTGTGAGTCCATCCCCCTTGCTGCTGGTCATCCTCCTCTTCTCTTTCCTTCCATCTTTCTCAGCATTAGAGCCTTTTTCAGAAAGCTGGGTCTTCGCATTTTGTGTCCGAAGTAGGATAATTTGAGCCTGGTCATTTGTGCTTCGAGTGAGACTTCTGGGTTGGTTTGTTCGATGATCCATTTGTTTGTTTTCTTGGCTGTCCATGGTCTCCCCAGGAGTCTTCTCAATACCAAGTTCAAAGGTGTCAATATTCTTCTTACCTTGCATCTTCAAAGTCCAATTAGCAAACTTTACATGGCCATATAACACAGGCCAGTATGCGGTATCCCTATACTGAGGAATTGAAAGAATTATGGGCTGCTAAAACACTTGGCAAGTTTGTGGCTCAGGTGAGATTTGAAACAAGCATACTCAACTCACAGCTTGCATTCTTAAATCTCTCTGCTATGAAAACTCTCCCAAACGCTGTTTTGTGCAAGCCTTAAAAATGTCATTCTAGAGAATGTCCAACTACCTTGGTTACATTTATGACAGAGTAGACAAAAATTATTTGGGAACAGGAACTATAGGTGTAAAGAGATCATAGGCACCATTCACAAGCCAAAGTTCAACTAAAGAATTACATACCATATCAGTTCCATTCTCGTTCCCTCCACAATAAATGCATCAGGTTCTGCCCTTTTCCAGCTCCAGCAAACAGACTGTATAACCAACTAGGCAGAGCAGAGTGCTGACATAAATGAACTTAGGCACAACAAACTTTGTCAAATTGGGTTGACAAAGAGATAAGAATATAGCAAATTGATAATGAGGAAATTTAAGTCCCACTTCACCATTTTTTAAACTTTAAAGGATATGACAATATTTTTAATCAACAGAAGAGAGGTTCACAAATAGATATTTTAGTACTGGCCTTCACTTCTACATATGCTTACTTATGAGTAAATCTTTTGGACTTCCTTCCAAGTAACATGATTAGAATTATACTCATGCATCTCTAGGTCTAGATATCAAGGTCCCCAGCTTTAAGTAAATCTCTATTACAACCCCATAAATATTATAGTTACCTGTGAAATCCAACTCCACTCAAAAAAATATTGAGGGCTGGATTTCAGTGACACATGTATATGCACAAGAGCAGAGAAGCACGATCCACTCACAATCCATAAAAAAGCCAGAAGAATTAGGCAAGGGTTGAACACTAGTTTTTTGGTGGTGCTGCACTGTTAAAAAATTATTTCAGCCTCCAAGGGCCATGAGGCTCATGTCTGGTGCTATGGTAACATTGCCAGAAATGGATTTTGGGCCCTTTGGGGGGTGGCTGGAGGGTTTAAAGTTTCATAATAGATGAATTCAGCTGAACACATCTATTTTGAACCTCTGAAGTTGCAAAACAAAAACAAAAATCTTCCCTAATGTTGCTCCAAATTGACAGCTTTTCTGCTTATTTAAACAGGATGATTCAAAGGTATTCTGAAAGCTGTAGGTGGCCATGGGCTGCAGTTTGCCTAGCCATGCTTTAAGATAAGCAATTGCTATGCCCCCCTTTCAGTCCCTGAAAAGGACATATGCAGATTGAGAGAATCCCATTAAAACTGAAAAGTTCCTTTAGGGTGAAGAATGGGGGAGAGAAATGCACTGATAAACAGAGCAGAACAATTAGGGGTAAGTTAATCAACAAATAGCATGACAACAGCCCTGATCTGGAGATACCATCAAACTGAGAATTGCCATAGTAGTTACAACCCCCCCCAAAAAGCCCACTTGACAACTCCCCTACCAAAACTATTGAAACAAGTTTTTTGAGCATTTCCAGCTACTATATTTAAAAGAGGGATGAAATATTCTTTTAGATACGCTCAATCTCCATAACCTTTCAATGGTTTTAAATTGTCACATTTCTATTTGTTTGCTGGGGCCAAGACCAAGTTAAGATTGTCTCTTCCAAGTAACTGTGTCCCATTCATTTACAACTTCAACTCTAATCTTATTTGGAAAAAAAAGTCCATAAGGACATTTAAAGGAGCTTTTAAAACCGTATTTCAGGATCCAGCTGTCTACTCAGCATTCCCTTAACTTTACCTAAGAACTCGCAAAGAAAACATGAAGATACTAGCTACTGTATATTTATTGTTTCTAAGATCTGCTATTGAGGTATGCTTCTGCTGAATAAATAAATGGTTTTATCCATTTATAGTTCAATTCAATATTCATTAACCTGATAATAATCTGGATCACAAGGTATTTTTCAGCCAATGAATAGACATGGGTGGCTGAAGACCTCAACACCAGAGATGAATTTAAGGTTCTGATGCATCCTATCCACTATGTTCAAGAATTATAGTCCACCTAGACAAGCCTCAAGACTAGCAAGTTATTTGAAAGAGACTTTGTAGCTGCAAGTTACAAGTTTACATGAGTATGTGTGTCTACACATCAGAAAGCTTTTTGAATGGCCTCCAAGTTTAGAAGATGTTCAGTGTTAGGATGTGCAAACAAAAGTCCCACATAGAAATTTAGGATGTTATTAGTTAAGATAAGGAAGGAAGGAAGGAAGGAAGGAAGGAAGGAAGGTCTGGTGTAGCCCTAACAGAAGGATATTAGCTTAGCCATCTATATTTAACCACAATTCAATGTCTTACATGTTTAAGCATGATTCCTGAAATCCATCCGCTAAGTAGCTCTTGCAACAGTTGCAATGCACAATACAGGGAAGTACTCCAAGTGTGTTGAAGAGTAATAAAATATATTTTTGAAGCCCGGTGAATATAAGCTCCCAGCTATTATTCTGCTCTTCACAGATTGCTATCTTGGCAGGTGAGAGAAAAAGAGATCTCTCGTCTTCCATAATAATTTTGAATACATCTTTCACTACAGAGAAGGGCCAATTTTCTGTTTCTAGAAACACAAGCTGACAACTTTACAAAATACTTTCTGCCTAATTTTCTGTTTGTGTCCACTCATATTGTTTCAGAATACTACCTTTCAGCGTATATGCACATGCATTCAATCCAATCCATGCAGGAAAAAAAATCAGACTAGCCTCAGAAGTTGCTATGGAAGCCCTATAGAAATACACTTACATTCACCTTTAGGCATGCCCAAACTCAAGGGCTGGAGGGCTCTTGCAGAGAACCGTTGTGCCAAATGTCCTAATCTAATAAGGTCTAAGGGCAGAACCACTTCCATGCATCAGTGTCCACAATGCATCAGAAGCAGTATTAGAAATCAGATGCTCATCTACTCTCTTAAGACCTATTCAGATGTAATGTACTTCATAGCTGTAAACTTATCTGCATTCCTATAGTATCAAAAAATTACATATTCCTACCTATAGAGTACTGGAAAATTTGCATCTCCTCATAGCCAAAGGCTATACCCTTATATTGTTGGGGCAATTCTTCTTTGGCTCTAAAGAGAGATTGAAATAATTCTCAATTTCAAATTCTTAATGAAGGAGTGGAATTCCAAGCGATGTCCCTTTGCCAATGCAGATACATTTATACAGTAAATGCAATACAATCAGATTCATCAGCCGTGAGGATATTTTTCCAACCCTTCCCCCCCCCCCAAAAAAACCACCCACTGTATATTCTTTTCATAAAATTTCTGGCTCAGCAATTCAAAAATTACAAGGAATGGTTACACAATGTAAATACAGCAACTAACAAGTTTGGCTTTTAAGGACTTGTTTTCCAGTGATTGTCCCTAGCAAAGCAAGTAAGGAGAGAAATATGATAACCACTGATTATAAAATTATCTGATGCAATGAAAACTTCCTAATGAACATCTTCCTTATAACCAATAGTAACCTACATCAATCATCCTGAAACAAGGAAAAATTACTTTGAAAAATTACACATGCACATTTTCCCCATCTACAAAATATACTTTCCTAATGTGGAATATTGAGTATCTCAGTCCTTTCTCTTTGGAAACCAAGCAGTCACAGTATTCTCCCTGCATTTTCATAGCACTGTATGCTCTTAATTTTAATTGGTCCTGACACCACCTATGCACGGTTCAGAGCCCAAACCGCAAAAGCAGATTTCGCAACTGAGACGCACATGTTTTTGTCAGGAAGGCAGTAACTTTCCAGCCACTTTCTTTGCCCCTCTTCCCACCGTGATGACATTTCCTATGCTACCCAAGTGTAATCCTATAGGGCATTTCCAAAACTGTGACTCTGCTGACTGCATTTTGATTTATAAACATCCCTCAAATCCACGAGCAACATACCCTCCTCAGAGAAGCAGGCAGTTCTGCTGGTCACGTCAACCTGACATCCTCCAGAGTGAAAAAACGTGCATCACAGCAGAGGATTAGAAGCACAGAAACCCACACAAACTTTGAACTGCAATCAGTGAGTCACAGAAAGAGTCTTTTCGGCTGTTCCGAAACATCAGATCCACCCTCTACTATCAACATTTGCTTCCACCATCATATCCTATGCATGCTTACTCAGAACTTAGTCCTAGAATACTCAACACCGTTACCGAAAAGTATGCATAGGTCTGCAGTCCAGTTTTTTTTTTTTTCAACTAAATGGGGGTGGGGGGAGAGAGGAAGGTGGAGAATTAATAAACCATCCACTCCGCAGAGGTGGAATTGGGAGCTATCAAGTTATTTTAGATACATGAAATGAAGACATAAATTACATTCAGGATTGTCCCGTTCAGGAAACGCCACCTTGTCTCCTTCAGCACCCTTGAGAGCTTAAGTTGCCTTGCCAATCGGTCTCGGTTCCACGCCGACAGACGAGCCTGAGTCCCACCGAATTTACAGCCCTCGTTTCTGAGTAACCTTAAACCGGATCCGAATGCAAAGCAGAGGTTTTTCCTGCCTCTTTTTTCCCCCTCCTGTCTGAGGGGGACGAGAGGGAAAGGCTCGATGGCTAAGAGACACCCAAAGGGAAAATGGGAGGAGAGGCAAGGAAAAGGAGGAAGGTCCAGAGGGGGAAAGGCAGGAACGAAGCAGAAAAGGGGGCGAGAAAGGAATTGGCCAAAGGGGGAAAGGAGGAAGGGGGAAAGAGCAGATTCCAGGAAAAGGGGGCCGGAGAGGAGGAAGGCAGAGACGGGAGGAGGTCGAGCTCCGAAGTTTCTCCTTACCGCTTCGCCAGGGCAAAACCCGCCGAGCCGAGGAAGGAAGCGGCCGCGCCGGAGGCTCCCACCGCCGGACACCCGCGGTG